CTATGCGAATAGTTATTTTTTTTCTGCGAAGATAAATTGTGCTTTAAATTGAAAGCAATAGCCCATATATATATATATATATATAGGACATTGTACGTAAAATTTTGGGATTGATTTGTAAATGAAAATGTACAATAAAAATTAATATTAGAAAATAGAAACAAAAACTGTGTATAATTAGGAAAATTGCGTCAACTTATTATTTGCTATTGGCAATTTTACTCTCATTGATAAATGAATCGTTTGAAAAATGAATTTTTTTTTTCCATTTTCACCGAAAAAATTCTGGTGCGTGTCGAGACTATTTTATTATAAGTAGTTTTTATATTTAATTCACAGAATGGCATTTATGGCGTTTTCTTAAAATTTCCTTTTTCATTGGACTTACAATTATTAATAATTTTATTTATACCCCTTTATTATATTTTTATCTTTTTAAACAAATCGTAAAGAATAATTGATTTCTTTTGAAAAATTTTTGGAGAACGGAAATTACACATTTCACTCAAAACTTTCTGTTTTGTTCAAATAAATTTTATTTGGTTCAAAAAAAATTTTATTTTGTTCAAAAAAATGTATTCGGTTCAAAAAAAAATTTATTTTGTTCAAATAAATTTGATTTGGTTTAAACAAACTTCATTTGGTTGAAATAAAAATTTTATTTCCTTTAAATAAATTTATTTGGTTAAAATAAAAATTTTATTTGCTTCAAATAAATTTATTTGCTTAAAACAAAATGTTATTTGGATCTCAAATAAATCCAAACCAAAAAAAATTTAATTGTTTCAAATTACTTTTATTTAATTGAAGTAAATTTTATTTCATTTAAATTTATTTTTGAACTAAACATTTTATTTGGTTCAAATAAATTTTATTTGGCTTGGATTGATTTTGGTTAAAAATAAAATTGTTATTCAAATATAATTTATTTGAACTAAATAAAATGTTTGTTTAAATACAAACCAAATAAAATTTATTTTAATCAAATAAAAGTTATTAAAAACAATTAAATTTTCTTTGGTATGAAATATAAATTATTTTGGATACAAAATTTTTATTTGAACGAAATAAAATTTATTTGAGACAAATAAAACAAAATTTATTTGAGAAATATAAATTTTATTCAGTTTGGATTTATTTTGGAGACGAATGAAATTTTTATTTAAACAAAAAAAGATTTTATTTGAACCAAATAAAAAGTTTAGTCCTAAATAAATCCAAAGAAAAGAAAATTTATTTGTTTCAACTAAATTCTATTTCTTCCACATTAATTTTATTTGGTCCAAATAAATTTGATTGATTTCAAATAATTTTTATTTGGTTCAAATAAAAATTTTAAACCAATCGAATAAAATTTGTATTCAAAACAAATAATTTATTACATTTTGAGTGAAATTCAATTTTATTTAATTCAACTAAATTATGTTTGGTTTAAAAAAAAATTTTTCTCTTGTTTCAATATTTATCCTGATTAATTAAATACTCGCGCAGGGGCAAAAAATCTGGATAACAAAAATTTTTTTAAAATATAATTAAAATTTTTTTTCTCAAAAGTGCACTTTAGACAATTTTTAATCAATAAAAAAATTATCTTATTAATTTTCTTAGTAATTATCTAGTAATTATCAGATCAACCCCTTTTTCTTAATTGCCTAGAAAACAACCATAGCAACCGTTAGTCCAACAATTCTGTTTTTTATTTCTAAATATTTAGAAAGGAAAATATTCTCGTTTCAAAATCAAATTTACATTCTAAGAAATTTTCTTTCCCTAATAATAATATTTGTTAAAAATTAATAATAAAAATATTAATTTTCGAGCAAAAAATGTTTTCTTTTTTCAAATCAAATTTATTTTCTAATGAATCTTCTTTCCTTAATAACAATATTATTATAAAAATTAACAATATTAATTTTGGGAAAAAAAAATTTTTCTTTTTCTTTCAAATCAAATTTATTTTCTAAATAATCTTCTTTCCTTAATAATAATATGATTATTAAAAATTAAGAATTAATAATAATATTAATAAATGATATGAATATTGAGAATTAATAATAATATTACTAAATAATATTAATATTAAGAATTAATTACAATAGATATTAATTAAGAAAAGAAAATATTTAGTTTCCAAAGGAATTTATATTCCTTTCTAAAGAGAAAACAAATTTTTTTTAACACGGCACGTCAATAATTGTCTTTTTCATTAATCGAATAGGTCGATACATATATAATTATATTTCGCCGTTTTTAAATTCTAAAGGCAGAAAATTTAGAGTGCGTTTACAAACGAAGGTATCATTTTATTTATTTTTTTTTGTTAATAAATTTGTCGATATATATATTTAATATATATGTATATTAATTTTATTTTGTTACCTTTTGTATCGCGAGCCTACGATTGCTTTTGAGATCAATTAATATCACAACGCGTCGTGTCTATTTTTTTTAATAATCATGCTATATTTATACAATTATTACATCAAATTGGTGGTTGGACGAAGAAACACGATCGCGGCATTTTTTTATATCAAGCGATCTCTAGATAAGAAATTTATACAAAATTATACAGACTGGCTTATTTCTTTTTTTCTTAATTCTTAAAAATTTGTTATCCTCTTTTCATTTTATTTTATTTTATTTATTTATTTATTATTATTTTTGAAGAATTCGCGTTATATCGAAAACGCTCTTATTCACTGCGATTACGATTTTTTTTCAATCGGATTTCAATCGGAAAAATTACAGTAAATATTTTTAATGAGGATTTTCATTTTAATTCAATGATTTATTAATTACTACAATTTTTTTCTTTATTTTCAATTTTTAATTTGAAATTTACTATTTCAAGTATTTTTTTTTTATCTATTTTAAGGAATTTTTTTTTAACGCAAATGAAAAATAAAAATTGTAGTAATATAAATCTATTGAATATTTCTAATGAAAGTTAAATACGTTTATCATTTTATAAGAGAGAGAAAGAGAGAGAGAGAGTGAGAGTGAGAGAGAGAGAGAGAAATTACAAACGAATTAGCGCAGTTGTATATTAAGAATATAGAATTAGATTACGCAGAATATTTTATCCTATTTTTTCGTTATCATATTTCTAAGATATTCTTACAAGATTAGAAATAACAAGGAAAATGTTACCATCAAGTTAACCGGGTAACACTTTTGATTGTCTTCTCAAAGAGGTCACAATTCGACAGATGGATAAATTAATTGTTCGACAATTGAACAATTTTTCTTTACTTCCGGTTTTTTTTTTTTTAAAAGCAAAATACTGAAAAAATTCGTACAATTTTTCTTCAAATAATGACAATAAATACAATTTTCAAATAATTATAAATATTTTCATAAGTTTTTCACCCCTCTTTGCCTGAATTTAAAAATAAAAATACAAAATTACATTTCGGAAATTTTTCAGTCCAATTTTCATAAAAGAAAAAAGAATTTGTTTGTGCATTGTAATTTTTTGGAAAATAAATTCTTTTTGCTCGCCTGCTTCTTGTTTTTTTTCATAGAGATAGGCCAATGAGATTCACAGAAAAATATTTTACAATGGAGAGCGCGATGATTTTTTTTCTTTTTCAACGACGAATCGATTTAAAACGCGAATATCGATCGATTAATAACGCCTTATGTATATAACAACAATGTTAATATATATTAGTTACGGCTAAAAAAGATTACACTTATTTAGAATCACATGCCCGATTTTTTTTTAATATAATAAAAAAGGACAGTCCATTCGTTTCTTTCTCTGTATCGACAAAAAAAAAGACAATTCTTCGTATTCATAACGATTCTGTAGAATATTATTTTTAAAGAAACTTCTCTTCCTTTTTTCTCTACTTTAATGAATTTTCACTTCCTTTCAATTTAATACTGAAGAAAATCAAATAGAATGTCCGTTCAATAAATATTCAAGTTCTCGATATATTTTTTTTAATCATAAAACGTCCAACGTTCTTTCTGGCAGGATAGAAAATTATTTTTCCGAAATTATACTATAATTTAATTAATTTTAATTTACTTAAATAATTTATAATTAATTTAAGTTCATTAAATTATAGTTGAAATAATTAATGAAAATTGTATCTTCCAACTTTTCTTTGTATTGCCCTATTAATTAATCTATCAATTTATCTATTAATCAATTTATCAATCAGTCTATCTATCAAATTATGAAACTAATTATTTATTAATTATCTAATTAATTATCTAAATGTCAAATTAAATATCATTCCATATTAATAAGAACTAATCATAGCAAATTTTTCATTAAAATCTAACTTTTTTTGTCAGATATTAATACACGGAGAGAGGGAAATATCTAAAAACTAAAAATCCAAATAAGAGAAAAATGTCAACAACAAAAAATCGATCCTAGGCCCTAATTTAGGATTTAGGCGGCTAACCATTCCTGGTCCCAACTACTCTTTAAATGGCAGTCACAAGTGGTAAAAAACTCGAAAAAAAAATGTTTGTCGCACAAAAATCGTTGTAAATTAGGAATTTCTTCGAATTTTAACTAGAAAATCGAAAACAAAAATAAAATTATCATATTGAAGTTAATTATTACATTTTAGAAGGAATGTTTAACTATTAAAGGCATGTTCAATAGTCTTTAGTTTTTTTTTCAACAAAACAAAAATATTCCTCTTGATATTAAATATCAAGTGAAATATTTTTGTTTCCTTGCAATTTTCAACTATTTTTCCAAAATTAATAAATTTATTTTCTTAAAACAAAATGTTATTTGGTTCCAAAATAAATCCAAACCAAATAAAATTTAATTATTTCGAATTACTTTTATTTTGATTGAAATAAATTTTATTTCATTTAAATTTATTTTGATTAAAATAAATTTTATTTCATTTAAATAAATTTGATTTGTTTCAAATAATTCTGGTGTGATTCTAATAGAAATTTTAAATAAAATTTTATATTCAAAACAAATAATTTATTAGATTCTAAGTGAAATTTCATTTTATTTAATTCAACTAAATTATGTTTGGTTTAAAAAAAATTTTCTCTTGTTTCAATATAAATATATTTTTTTTTCTTTTATTTTATAATTTATTTATTTTTCTCTCCGTGCATGGAAAATAATCTGTGGACTAACGTAAATTAACTTAACTAGACTTTTAAAAATACATTAAAAAATATTGAATTAACATTTAAACTCTATTTTTACAATTGTAAATTATTCCAATTAGAAACGACCTGCCAGAATAATTAATTGGACGTTCTATCATTAATAGGAATGTTGAACGGAAACGCATTTCGCGTTTACCTTATTTATCAAAATAGCAAAAAAGAACCTTAATTAAAAAAAACTCTTTAGAGAGAAAATAATAAAAATTAAACGCTAAAATAGAAGATAATTATAAATCATGATTTTTAAATCAAGACGTTAGAATCACGATTTTTGAATCATAGTTTTCGAAGTACAATTTTCAAATCAAAATTTTCGAAGTATAATTTTTAAATAAAGATTTTCGAAGTATAATAAAATCAAAATTTTTCTAATCAATTTTCGAATAATAATTTCTAAAAATCATGAGTTTTGAATTACAAATTACAATTTTCTAAAAGAATCAATTCGCTTGATTAAAATTAAAAAAAAAAGAATTCTTTATAAATTCAATGTCCTAGCCATTGACGAAACGCGACCAGCTCCGCCAAACGAGTGAATTCACTATGACGAATATCCTCGCAGATAATAATTTCAAGTATTTATTTACTTACTCTGCAATTCAATGCTGACAACGATCACAGTTTCACTGTTTGTTGCTCCATTTCTTTTATTCTTCTTCTGCATGTTTACACATGTGTTTATTACTTTGGAAATAATAATCAGATCAATAATCGATTCATTTACCGATGTACAACATTTCTTCATTTTCATATTCGCTACATCGATCATTGTACTCGGTTAGTAAAGCTCCTTTCACCTGAAAAATTACAAAAAAAATTACAAACAAAATTACAATAAAAAATTATTGGAATTTTTCTTTTAAATTAAATTTCTCTTTATAAATTCCACTTTGGAAATATTAAATTCCACTGAGTCGTTAATGAAAAAGAAAATGAATTTCAGATAGAGAAAAAAAAAGCTATAAACCTTAGTTTTTTCTTCTTCTAGTTTCTGTCGAACCTCCTCGTGTTGCCTTTCGAGTTCAGATTTCTTCCTTTCAAAAATTGTTGTCAGTCTTGTACATTCGTTTACACCCTTTTCCACCGTTGATTTAGCAACTTCACGTTTCATTCGGTCCAATTCGGCTTTATCTTTATGATTTTTCGCTAAATTCTTAACCTGCAAGAAAATTTAAATTAAATTATTTTAATTTATTTCACAGTTTTATTTTATTTATTTGTTCACAAGAATCAAAATTTTTTTAAATTACAATTTCAAATCTTCTGAAAATTAATTATTTCTGTAAATATTGTAATTCTGTTAGAACTCAGAGTTCAAAAATTTTAATTTAATTCCACTAAGTCGTTAATTAAATATTTTTTTTTAGAACTTTTAACTAAAATTCTACTCTTAATAAATAAATTTTTTGTAATTTTGACAAAGTTTTTTGAAAATTCAAAATTTACAGCAAATATTCTGTAAATTCTAATTTATTCAAAATTTAATTATTTTCTACAATTTTTAACTAAAATTCTTCTTTTAATAAATTAATTTTTAGTAATTTTAAGAAAGTTTTTTGAAAATTACAAAACTTACAGCTAATATTCTGTAAATATTTTCAAAATTTAATTATTTTCTACAATTTTTAACTGAAATTCTTCTCTTAATAAATGAATCTTTAGTAATTTTAAGAAAGTTTGTTGAAAATTCAAAATTTACAGTAAATATTCTGTAAATATTTTCTGCGGTAATTCTAATTTTTTTCAAAATTTAATTATTTTCTACAATTTTTAAATAAAATTCTTATCTTAATAAATTAAACTTTAGGGATTTTAAGAAAGTTTTTTGAAAATTCAATCACTTTTAAGCAGAGAAAGTTTATTTCAAATTCAATTAAAATATTCTTCAATTAAATTTTAAATTTGACGACATTTCGATTTTTCGAAAGTTTTTCAATTAATATTTATTGAAAAAGTTCTCTAGAATTTTCAATTTAAAATATCCAAAATAAAAATTTTTTTAAATTTCAATTTGAAATGGAATTAATTTACGGTTTCTAATGTAACTAATTTTTAATTAATTTTTACTTTATTTATGAAATTAAATTGAAAATAATTGAATTTTTCATTTAATTTATTTTATTGAAAATAATTTGAATTCTTAGAGAAGTTTTTTTAATTGTATTTTTTTAATTGTATTCATTCGAAAAATTTTATTAAAATTGTATTAAAAATAATTGAATTCCTCCAAAACATTTTATAATTTATAAAAAAAATTGAATTCCTTCGAAGGATTTTATTGTTTATATTAATATTTTAATTCTTGCGAAGAATTTTCTTATTTATGAATATCATTGAATTCTTGTGGAGGATTTTACAATTTATAAAAATAATTAAATTGCTTCAAAGAATTTTATCTGAATTTTTGAAAATAATTAAATTTTTTGAAGGAATTTTTTTGAAATTTTGAAAATAATGATTTTTTTAAAGAGTTTCATCAAAATTGTCGAAAATAATTAAATTTATATTAAAATTCTTGAAAATAATTGAATGCAAATAATATTTTTAAAAAAATTGTATTCTTTCGAGAAATTTTATTAAAATTGAATTGAAAATAATTGAATTCCTCCGAAACATTTTATAATAATTTATGAAAATAATTGGATTCCTTCGAAGAATTGTATTGTTTATGTTAATATTTTAATTCTTGCGAAGAATTTTCTTATTTATGAAAATTACTGAATTCTTGTGGAGGATTTTACAATTCATAAAAATAATTGAATTGCTTCGAAGAATTTTATCTGAATTTTTGAAAATAATTGAAAATTTTGAAAATAATGATTTTTTTAAAAGAGTTTCATCAAAATTGTTGGAAATAATTGAATTTATATATAAATTTTTGAAAATAATGGAATTGTAACAAACAATTGTAAATTTCGTTAAATTTTATATTTTGAAGATTTTTAGTAAATTTAGTGTGTAGAAAAATTTAAAACAAATTTGTTTTCAAAACATTTGTTTTAAATTGGAAATTGAAATTGAATTGAAATTATTATCAGAATAAGGAAAGAAGTTAAAAAACTTTTCTATTAACCAGAAGAATGTCAGGTAAATATAAATTTAAATTTCTACAAAAATTCTGAATAAATTCTTAATATAAAAGAATATTTCGAGTTTTATCGTTATTTAAATCGACTAAAACAATTTTCTTTTAGTTTTAAAGTCGATTTAAGTAGTTATTAATTTCAAAACTTAAAAAAAAACGTCAACATTCTACCCATAAAAATTGGATACGACAGCTATTTAATAAAAATAATAATAATACTAACTTCCTCATGTCTTTTTGATTGAAGTTTCCTCATGACGTCAGCAGTTTCACGATCCAACATATTTTTCAGTGTCTTCAATTGATTTGTTTGTGAGGATTTCATAACTTTTTCTAAAGTTGAAAATACACTTTCGTGATATTTTTCCTGCAGTTCACGTTCCTGTTGAATGTGCTCTTTGCAAACAGCTAAAAGCCTCTCGCTCTGACTCCTCGGCAGTCCTTTCATTAATGTTTCAGCAGTGTCGCGTGCCTCCTCTGGACATTCGGACGTATCCGTGAGTGTTGTACTACTTGGACCACCATCACTAGAGATACTGCGAAACATATAACTGAGAATGAGAAAAAACATAGCATCAAATTTAAATTCACTTTAGCACAAAAACAAAAATACTAAAAAGCAATCATTTTCTTCAGATAAACAAAAAAAATTGTCTCCAAATGTAGACAAATTTTTACAAATTAACAATTTTTAATTTTTGAAAGAAAAATTTTTCTTTTAATTAGTTAAAAGAAAAATTAAAAATTGTTAAATTCCCTTACTTACCGTACGAAAGATTGAATTATTTAATTCTACAACTCGAGGAATCGCTAGTAAGTCGCAATTTTCGCCCTTTCAAAGGGCGTTTCAACATTATCAATATCGTAAATTCGTAATAAATTCAATTACTCACATGTTATTGCTCGACAAACGTTTAATGAATTTGTGGCTAATATAAAACTTTGTTTTATGCTTCTCCCCATCGATAGAAACCTTCTGCGACTGTATTCTCATTTTCTCCTAAAAGTTAACATCACAATTTAATTCTTTGCAATTAATTTTTATTTCCACGATAAAATAGTTGGGTAAACTTTAATTAAGGGAGAATTCTCCCTCTCTATTTAGTACCAAAAATAAAATTCTCTAATTAAAAAATTACCTTCTCGTGCTTCTTCTTTAAAGACTCTAATTTCTTATCGAGCTCCGTTCTCTTCTCCTTTACGAGTTTATTTTCCATTAATTTCTCAAGAGATTCTGCAGATATTTCTTCGCTCACTTAAAACAAAAGAGAAAAATAGTAAATTAGATTGAATTTTGAAAAAAATAAAAAATATGCAAATTAGATTGAATTTCACAAAAAATATCTTCTATATTAATAATCGTTGTATTTCGGAAAATCTGTTCGCAGTTTGAAGTTACTTGTTTGTTTTTTTTGTTTCTTAACTTTTTTTAATAAATTGTTTTGTTAAAATATTTTAAATTTTAAAATTAATGTAGAATTGAAAATCATCGAATTGTTGCAAAGAATTTTATCAAAAAATTTGATAATAATAGAATTCCGTCGAAGAATATTATTATTTAGGAAAATAATTGAAATCTCGCGAAGAATTTTGTTAAAATTATTGAAAATTCTAATTAAATTCTTTTTGAAGAATTTCTTTGAATTTTTTTTTTAAATAATTGTGTTTCCTTGATAATTATAATTTAAAATTTTGAAAATAATTGAATTGTTTTAAAAAATTTTATTAAATTTTGTTAAAAATAATGTATGTAATTTAAAAAAATAATTTTAATTTAAAAATTTTGAAAATAATTGAAATTTACAAAGAATTTTATTAAAAAATTTTGAGAAGAATTGAATTTTTTTAGAAAAATTTTATTACAATTTTTAAAAATAATTGAACCTATTAGAGAAATTTTATTAAAATTATCTTGAATATAATTGAATTTTTTCGTACAAATTTTATTAAAATTGTATTGAAAATTATTAAATTTCTCAGAAGAATTTTATTATTTACGAAAATAATTGAATTATTGACAAGAATTTTACAATTTATAAAAATAATTGAATTGTTTCGAAAAATTTTATCAGAATTGTCGAAAATAATTAAATTTATATTAAAACTCTTGAAAATAATTAAATGTAAATAATATTTTCAAAAAAAATTGTATTCTTTCGAGAAATTTCATTAAAATTGTATTAAAAATAATTGAATTCCTCCGAAACATTTTAGAATTTATGAAAATAATTGAATTCCTTTGAAAAATTTGATTGTTTATGTTAATATTTTAATTCTTGCGAAGAATTTTCTTATTTATGAAAATTATTGAATTCTTGCGGAGGATTTTACAATTTATAAAAGTAATTGAATTGCTTCGAAGAATTTTATCTAAATTTTTTAGAACAATTGAATTTTTTGGAAAAATTTAATTACAATTTTTAAAAATAATTGAATCTTTTAGAGAAATTTTCTTAAAATTATCTTAAATGTAATTGAATTTTTTCATAGAAATTTCATTTTAAAATTGTATTGAATATTATTAAATTTTTTAAAAGAATTTTATTATTTACAAGAATAATTGAATTCTTGACAAGAATTTTACAATTTATAAAAATAATTGAATTGTTTCGAAAAATTTTATCAGAATTGTTGAAAATAATTTAATTTTTTACTAAAACTCTTGAAAATAATTGAATGTAAATAATATTTAAAAAAAAAATTGTATTCTTTCAAGAAATTTTATTAAAATTGTATTGAAAATAATTGAATTTCTCCGAAACATTTTAGAATTTATGAAAATAATTGAATTTATTTGAGAAAATGTAATTCAAATTGCGGTGGATTTTACAATTTTTAAAAATAATTGAATTTTTTGAAGAAATTTTATTAATTTAAAAGAATTTTATCTCAAAATTGTCAAAAATAATTGAATTTATATTAAAATTCTTGAAAATAATTGAATTTAATTAATATTTTTTAAAATAATTTATTGTATTTTTTTTAGAAATTTTATTGAAAATAACTAAAGTGCTCTAAAGAATTTTATTATTTATGAGAATAATGAAATTCTTTTGGAAAATTGTATTAAAATTTTTGAATAATAATAAACAAGAATATTTAATAATATGTACTTTATAAGTGAATTTTTTAAATTTTGAATCTGTAATCATTCAAAAATTGATATTTAATCTTGAAAATATCAAATTTTTTAATTTACAAAATAATATAATAAATGGAATACTATCATTTGCTAGTATTTTAATAAATTGAATTTACAAATAAGTAAATAGTAAAAAAAAAGGAAATAAGCAAATTAGATTGAATTTTAAAATTATCTAAAGGAGATTGGAGGGAAAAAAGAATACTTACTACTGCTTGCATTGACTGGACTCTTACTGGCTGAAGAATCAACAACGGAGGAACTGGTGACTGAAAAAACGACACTGTCGTCAACTTCTTGTGAGTCGGCGGAAGTTATTGCACTAATCGAAGGCCTTGGATGTGCAGTGACTAATGTTTGCAGTAAATTTGCCGGCATTTCTCCAATTGATTGCATTCTCTTCGGTCTTAATCCCTCCTCCTAAAAAATAATTTAATTCTCTCAAGAGTTTTATAAATTTAGAATATTTTTTCTCCTATTTTAAACTTACAGTCGGTCTAGAGGAACTCGGTCCACCAACAGTGGCTTTATCTTTTTCCTACAAAATGTTAGTGGTTAAGAAAGTGAATTGGTTAGTAGAATTTTTAACAAAGATATCGAAGAATTACATATCGAATTCATAGAGAATTTTGCCAAATTTTTTTTATACTCAGGAATAGGAGAAGAGAATTAGGAATAACAGAGTTGTCACAAAAAGAAAAGAGAGATTTGTCATGAAAAGAAAATTCGAGGAGAGAAAATACGAACCTCCTCTTCTCCTTCAGGTTCCTCCATGTCGTCTGTTAGAACCGCGAGTTGCTTTTCACGTTTCTCCAGTTCGCTTTGGTATTTGATTGGATTAGCCAGAGCTTCGGCAAAATCACTGAGACCATCAGGTACATAATCCTTGACGATAACGTGGAGAAATAGACTCGCCAGTGGAAGAGGTTGTCCACATTCGTTTCGTAGTGCCACATGACGATAACCTGGACAAAGACCAACCACAGGCAACACCCGATGTCCTATCATTTTTCCCGACTCCTCATAAGCAGCTATTCGAATAGATGCAAGTTCCGGTAACACCACCTGAATAAAAAATTATCATCATCATCATCATCATCTAATTCTAAAATCATGGTTGCCACAAAAATTTAATTTTGTTTTTCCCTAATCTTTCTCTGATTTTCAGACAAAATTTTGACCCTAAAACTTGAAGAAAACGAACGATCGATTTCTTCATGTTTTATCATAATTAAAAATGACCGAGTGATAAAATCATTATTTTATATTACAAGAATATTGTTACTGTAACTTCTTCAAAATTATTTTCATCATTTCAATTCAATTATTATTATTAATATCTAGAATTTTTAACTAAAATTCTTCTCTAAATCAATTATTTTAAATAACTTTTGAGAAAGTTTTTTTTTTTGAGAATTTTCAAATAATTTTAAAAAATTTCAATTAAATTTAAAAAAAAAATTAATTCTACATAATTGTTAGTTAAAAGTATGAAAAATTTAAAATTTCAAAGATTTTAATTTGAAACCTTTTCAAAATTCAATTGTTTCTAAAAAAAATTGACGCTATAACGCTTTTAATATTCAATTGTCTAAAATTTTAACTGAAATTCATTTTTAAATCAATTTTTATTAGAAAATTCTACGAGAATTTAATTATTTAAATACAATAATAAATAATTTATTGAATAATTGAATGTTTCTCAAAATTAAATTCTCATAAAGAATTTTATCAATAAATTTTTAAATAATTAAATTCTTTTGACGAATTTTAATAAAATTTTTAAAAATAATTATACATTTTTCAGAGGAATTCGATTAAAATTGTATTTAAAATAATTGAAATTCTAAAATGAGTTTCATTATTTATGAAAATAATTGAATTTCTAAAAAGAATTTTATTATTTATAAAAATAATTCAATTTCTATAAAAAAATTTACTATAATTATGAAAAATAAAAATTATAAAAAATTGGTAAATAATTGAATTTCTGTGGAATTTCTATTATTTATGAAAGTAATTAAATGTTTGCGTAGAATTTTATCCAAATTTATTTAAAACAATTTTCAAATAAATTAATTCTGCAGAACTGTTAGTTGAAAGTATGCAAAATTCAAATTTTCAAAGATTTTAATTTGAAACCATTTGAATAAAATTCAATTATTTCTAAAAATTCATGACATAATGCTTTTAATATTCAATTAATATATCTAAAATTTTCAATAAAATTAATTTTTAAATAAATTTTTATTAGAAAATTCAACGAAAAGCATTTCTCATGAAGCATTTTATCAACAAATTCTTAAATAATTAAAAGTCTTTAAAAAATAATTAATAGTCTTTTGAGCAATTTTAATAAAATTTTTAAGATTAATTCCATTTCTCGAGAAATTCGATTAAAACTGTATTAAAAATAATTGAAATTCTGCGATGGGTTTTATTATTTATGAAAATAATCATTGAGGGGAATTTTTGAAACTAATTGAAATTTTATTGAAATTTTAAAAGTAATTGAATTTCGGAGAAGAATTTTATTATTCGTGATAATTTTATAGTTTACGAGGCGAACAAAAAAGACACCAATATTGAGAATTTTCCTATGAATTCTAAAAATTAAATTTTTCTAGTACGTTTAATAAAAATTCTTAACTTTTCCCTGATTTTCCTGAGCAATTCTACTTTCTCTGACTTTTCCCTAAATTCCCTGACTTGTGATAACCCTGTAAAAAATTTCTACAAAATATTCCTTTTTTCAATTTCTTTTTTTTTTTTTTTTTTTTTTTGCTTTAGAGGTAAAAATATTCTACCTTCTTAAAAACGAAAGGTTCCTCATCATAGATCGGATTTATTCCATTATTCTGAACGATTTTTGTTCTGAACTTTTTTCTAACAGTGTCAGCCGGCAAGCCATACATATCGACCTCCACATAAGTCCCAACTCTCTTGTCACTGAGAAATTGTGCAGATATCACGTGAATGTGAACGGTACCGGCTATAATACCGTCCACCATAGATTCAGCAAATGGATCCAATCTTCTGTCCTTGCGTCTCATGAATTCCGGTTTCAGCAAATAACCACATCGCTGATTGTACTCGAAAATCCCCAAATTGAGTTGCATCGCAAGGTCTAATATACAGTACACGTAGAAATAATTAATTAACAAAAAAAAAAAAAAAAAGAAAACAATTAGTCATCAATTAATAAAATCAAAGTCACCAATTAGTAACAAATTACCCTCCAAAAAAAGCTGAAAACAGAGGATGTTCATAAGTCTCGAAAATAATTTTTATCAGTTAATCGATCACTTTTCGTGATCATCAATAAAAACAAGAGCTTCTCATTTTTGATGAGAATAAATAATCATCGAAATTACCATATACCGGAAGTTGAGACTATAAATTGAAAGAGGAGTGAAAGAGAAGTGAAAGAGAAGTGAAAAAGAAGCGAAAAAATTCACTTCCAGATGAGGAATATTTTTTTTTCTTTTCATCAACTCACCGAGTGTCTGGTAGTTGAGGGCGACCAGTTGACAGCCAGCATTCCAGAACACCTGCGGCATGAAGTTGCTGGAGTCGAATCTCGTGCCAGCCGGATAAACTCGCGAGAGCTGATGTTTATTGTAGTTGACAAACTCGAGAGGCCTTTCCTTCAACAATGTCGTTGCTTGCTTCTCATCGAACGAAGACATTTCGTACATTCGATTTTTCTCTGCCAATTGAGATTGAGCAAGCCAAGTGATAACAGGGGTCAATCGACTGACGTAAATAGTAGCAAACTGTTTATACACATTGGAAATTGTTGGTTGGGGAAACAAATCATCGAACATAAAAATGATCCAAAAAAAAAATAAATAAATAATAATAATAAAATAAGAAAACGACAAAATCATTCTGTTTTGAAAATAACTCACTTTCAGCTGATTCGAAGCTATTAAAATGCACCGGCTGGACATAATTAACGAGGGCAGATATCTCAGCGCCAGCTTCCGTCTCCTTAGCTGAGGCCACCGCTTTTTCTGGTACTGCAACTTTGTCACATTCCACATTGCTCTCCTCCTCCTCTGAACTCGATTCGTCCTCGTCATCTGTAAATAAAAAATTCGTTTTATTAATTTACTTTTTTTAATTCCTAAATTTTTTTTTTATTAATTTACTTTTATAATTTAGTTTCTAAATTTTTTTTTAAACTTTAAACACTAGTGTAAATTCATTAAAATAAATTTTCAATGTTCCAGGCTTTGCACTCGTCTACTAAAACCTATCTACTACTTTTTTTTTAACAATTTTCTACACATTTTGGAAACTTTTTAGATTTGTGACACTAAAAATACTTTTTTCCTTCTTTTCGAGAATTTCACCTAACCATACACTCGCTAATAGTGGAAATACAAAAATTAATATTTATTTTCTTCAAATTAAGCACAAATTCATCTTATTTAAATAACAATAAATCTAAAAACTTTCTGAGTACCGCCAAGATTAAAAAAAGCACACTTTTTAATAAAGAAAAAACCGAATTTGATAATCGACACCAAAAATCGTATTTTTAAAAAATTTCAAAACAAGCTTCGTTTTTAATGATACAAATCTGTCCTGAATTAGTAATGAATTCTAAATATTTTATAAGTAACACTTCGTTTCGGAAAAAGCTCTTTTTAAATTATAAAAAATTTTTTTTTATTAAAAAGCAAAAATTTCATAACCGACTCCAAAAAATGTAAAAAAATTCAAGATCACTTTTTTTAAGATAAACATTATTTCAAAATCAGTTATGAATTCTAAATACTTTCCAAGTACCGCTCTGTTGCAAGAAAAGCTCTTTCTAATAAAAAAAAGGCGTTTTTTTAATTTAAAAAATTCCAAATTTTCTAATCGACTCCAAAAAATATTTAAAAAAAAATTTCACGATTATTTTCTTTTTTCAAGATAAAATTTTTTTCTAAATCGATGATGAATTCTAAATAATTTCTAAGTACTGCTTCGTTTCGGAAAAAAGCTCTTTTTAATGAAAAAGCCCTATTTTTATTTTCAAAAAAGACAAAATTTGATAATCGACTACAAAAATCCTGTAATAAAATTTCAAGAGCAGCTTCGTTTTGTAAAATACTAATTTTTCCTGTATTAATGATAAATTTTAAACAGTTTCTAAGTAACGCTTTCTTTTGTAAAAAAGCTCTTCTTTAATTCAAAAAAAAATATATATATTTTGAATAAAAAAAAAAATTTGCTAATCGACTCCAAAAATCATATAAAAATGTCAAGTCCACTATTTTTTTCAGGACAAAATTTTTTTCTAAATCAGTGATGAGTTAGATTAGTTACTATTAATTTACTATTTGTTGCTAAGTGACGCATCGTTTCGGAAAAAGCTCTTTTTCAATATAAAAAATTACAAATTTAATAATTGTCTCCAAAAAATTAAAAAAAAAATTTTAAGACCACTTTCTTTTTTCAAAAATAAAATTTTTTTTCTATATTGGTGCTGAATTCCAAATAGTTTGAGTTCCACTTCGTTTCGGAAAAAAGCTTTTTTTTTTAATAAATAAGCCCTTTTTTAATTTAAAAAAAGATAAAATTTAATTGTCGCCTCCTAAAATCGTAAAAAAAAAATTTCAAGACCACTTTATTTTTTCAAGATAAAAATTATTTAAAAATCAGTGATGAATTCTAGATTTAGTATTTTAGAATTAAAATTTAAAATTTAGAATTTAGAATTCGAAATACTTTCTGAGTACATTTTCGTTTCGGAGAAAAGCTCATTTTAATTTTAATAAAAAAGGCCTTTTTTAATTAAAAAAAATTCCATATTTCACTCCAAAAAAATTTTTTCAAAATCTCAAGACCACTTTCCTTTTTCAAGATATAATTTTTTTCTAAATCGGTGTTGAATTCTAAATATTTTCTAAGTAACGCATCATTTCGGAAAATGCTATTTGTCAATAAAAAAAGCCCTTTTTTTATTAAAAATATAAAAATAAACCAAAATTTGATAATCGACTACAAAAAATGTAGAAAAAAATTTCAAGAACTCTATCTTTTATCAAGACAAATTTTTTTCTAAATCGGTGTTGAATTCTAAACAATTTCTAAGTATGTACTTTATTGCTTTATCTGCTTTATTTCGGAAAAAAGATCTTTTTAAAAAAAAACATTTTTTGAATAAAAAAGCAAAAATTTGATAATCGACTCCAAAAATCGTATAAAAAATTTCAAGACTACATTTTTTTCTAAATCAGTGATAAATTCTAAATAGGTTTTCATGGATGAATCGTTTTGGAAAAAGATCTTTGTTAATATAAAAAATTCCAAATTTGATAATCGACTCCAAAAAATGTAAAAAAAAATTTCAAGACCACTTTGTTTTTTCAAAATACATATTTTTTTCTTAATCAGTGATCAATTTTAAACAGTTTCTAAGTAATTCTTTGTTTCGAAAAACAATATTTTTCTTAAAAAAGACCTTTTTAATAAAAAAAAGCCAGAATATAAAATTTGACAAATTGCCTAATTTCATAATCAATTCTAAAAATCGTATAAAAATTATCAAAATCAGTTTCGTTTTTCAAAATACTAATTATTTCTGAATCAAAGATGAATTTGAAAAAATTTCCTAGTACCGCCACATTTAGGAAAAAATCCTTCTTTTAAGAAAAAAAAACCTCTAAAAAATGTTTGAAAAAATCTACAAGTTTTGAAATCAACAAATTTTGAATTTAAAAAAAATCTTGAGGAATAAGAATAAATTGAAAATACAAACCTTCCTCCTCTTGCGTACTGTCTTTGCTACCCTGTCTGTGTTGCAGCATCGGCGCATGTTGTACTTCTCCATTATCAATTTGATGCTCACTGTTACTACTGACGACAACCCCATCAACAACTTCATTCTGAGGAATAATATCAGGAGGTGGACCATTCTCTCCTTCCGCTGCTTGATTCACAACACCTATATCATCGACTTCCTGATTTCCTTCTTCAATGCCAGGAGTTTGAATCTGTTGTTTCTTATGATGCTTCTTATGATGATGATGATGGTGGTGTTTCTTTTTATTCTTAATGATAATTTTTCTTCTCAGCAATGCAGGTGGTGGAAGTTCTTGGCCTGGTATCAACTGGAAAAGAAGAAAAAAAAAGTAATTCCAGAATCTTATTCAATTTTTAGTGCCATATATTTGTGGATTAAAATTCATTAATTTATTTTATTTAACTAGAAAAGAAGAAAAAAAATTCTAGAATTTTATTCAATTTGTAAATTTTTTATTTTAGAATCCTTTTTTTTTTTTTTTTGTTAAAATTGGTGTAACTTTATAAAACCATGTAATGAGTAAATAAATAAATAATTACATTGTGACTTTCAAGTGGACAATCCAACAGCATGTCTCCAAAATATTCCCTACAATATTGTGCAATTTTTGCTTGTTGTCTTGGATTACAGTGATTTTCAAAACTGAGAATAACTGGAAATTCCGATGTTTTAAAGGCACTGTCAGCTATTGCCTCTATTACATCACGCGCGCATATTTCAGGCACAAATGTATATCTGTTAAAAAAATTCTATTTAGTACAAATTGGAATTAATTAACGATAATATTGTAGTGTTAATAATTTTTTTTTTTTCAAAAAGAAATACTCACCCGTGAACAATCACAGGTTCGTCGAACTTGCCATTCCAGAAATCGAGTTCAACACAACGACATCCAGCAAGTAAACACTGTTTATAGATTTCTACGGAGCTTTTACCAGTAAGTTGATGACCTAAAAGTGATTAATTAATTTTCTCAATTTCCTAAATTACGAGTATAAGTTTTTAATACATTTAAAAGGGTCAAGAATATTTATTTTTCAACCAAAAAAAATATATTGTTTTACAGGCCTTGGATAGAGTTTAAGGAGGAAAAAAAAGTCGCTTTTGTCGATTAAAAATACAAAAAAGTGGCGAAAACGTCGTTTATTTAATTCAGCGTTGTCACAAAAAATTTATTTCGTATTTCCCTAATTTTTCCCTTTCACTAATTTCTGAATTCAATTCTTTAAAAGTTGAATAATTTTGGTAAATAAAAATAAAATTTATTTTTTAAAAATATTTTTAATAATTTTTAAAAGAGATATTCAATTATATAAAATTAAAAATTAACAAAGAATTTAAATTAGCTAAAATTTTTTTAAAAATAATTAAATTTTTGAAAATAATAAAAAGAATTAAATTTTTAATAATAATTTTTATTAAAAACTTAAACATGGTTTTTTTCTCTCTGAAATGTTAAAAATAAATCTAAAAAATTGTAATTATTATTTTTTGTGTGTATTTGAATTTTTGGAATAACAAGTAAATGAAAATATTAAAAATAATTGAATTTTAAAAAATTAAAATGAAAAAATTCTAGGAATTACATTTTTTTAAAATATTCTTTTATATAATTTTTAGAAACTAATTTTCATTACTGTCTATTTTTAAATTTACACTTAAAGATTTTTTTTAAGATTATTTCAACAATTTGCAATTAAAATTCTTCAAAATTTGATTTTTAAAAATTTAAACGCATTATCTGGAAAGAAATTAATTATTTTTAATTAAACTTTACAAAACTTTAGTCATTTAAAATTTTTTTAATTTATAATCAAAGATTTTTCATTAAAATCTTTGAAAATTCAATTATTTTTAAAATTTGCAATTAAATCTGTTGGAAAAATGATTTTCACAAAAATTTAATGAATTTCTCGAAAAAAATCAATTATTTCAATTAAATTTTACAAAATTTGAATTATTCAACAATTTTTAAATTTACACTTAAATATTTTTCATTTAAATCTTTAAAACTTCAATTATTTCCAAAATTTGCAATTAATACTGGAAAAAATCAATTATTCTTAATTAAACTTTATAAAACTTCAATTATTCAAAACATTTTAAATTAAAAATTTTACAATTTACACATAAAGATTTTCTATTAAAATTTTGGAGAATTTAATTTTTTACAAAATTTGTTATTAAAATTCTTCAAAAATTGATTTTTAAAAATTATAATAAAATACTTTTAAAAAATCAATTATTTTCAATTAAATTCTACAAAATTTCACTTATTCAAAAACCTTTAATTTAAAATTTTTAAATTTACACTTGCAGATTTTTGATTAAAAATTTTGAGAATTTAATTATTTTCAAAATTTGTAATTTAAATTATTTCTATATTTTAAAAATTTAATTATCTTAAAAAAGTTCTTGAAAAATCGAAATAAGTTGCGTTTTATACTAAAAAATATCGTATTTTGTAGCAATATTTTGAAGAAAAGTAATAAAAGTTCCAATTTTTTAAAATAAGTAGAAAAAAGTTGCATTTTTTGAAAATAGTCGAAAAATGCATAATATCCGAGGCCTCCTTTTAGAAACAAATATTTGTAGTTTTTATATAATGCAGAAACATCGACCAAAGTCAAATATATTCACAAGGCAAAAAATAATTAACAATCAGCAAATTCTTTCGATTAATTTAATTTGATACGAAATACGGAAATTTAAGACATTCCAATTTTTTTTCATTTTGCAAAAATATTATTTTCCTTAGAAGAAAATAAATTCAGTAAAGTAGAAATAAAGGAATTTGCAAACATTGAGATCAATATACTATTATTTCCGAGGCAAATAAAGAACAAACAAAATGATATGCAGTGGAAAAGAAAAATTAGATTATAATAAAATTTATTTACCAGTGAGGTACGTATTGTGACTAGAATTGATAAAATAATGAGCAAGCGGTTGATCCATATCGTCAGATAATTCAAATTTGGACACAGCAACAATGGGATTATCTTCACTCATCAAATACCTGAGGAAACCATCGCAACTCAATTGTCCTCGTGTTGCATTATATTTATTAGGTTCGTATTCATTAATAATGTCCTTTGCTCGTGCCGCATTTGCGTACGGATATAAAATTTCATTCAAACGTGGATCTCTTTGTGTTTTATTTAGAAAGTCCACAAGTTGAGGTACAGACATAAGTTTACGTTTCGAATTGCCGATAATGTCATCGAAAACCTTTTCCACCTCTGTACGTTGAGTTAGGGTTTTGTAGAAATTGAAGAATTCCTCGAACTCAAATTTTTGCAGTGGCACACCGTCGGTCTAAAATGGGAAATTTATTTTTATTTTTCCTTGTTTGGTGAAAATTTTCAGTATTATAACTATTATTGTGTGTGTTTTTTTTTGGTACTTTAAATTTTTTTAAAACCGTTTTTTGCCCATCACTTTTTGTAGGTAGTATTTTTTTTTTCATTTTTAACAGAATTTTTTTGTTCTACATTTTTTTATGGTTGTTTTTTAGAACGGAATTTTTAATCTACTAGCGAACATTCTACAATAATTCTAGACAAAGTTATAAGAGGGTTGTCACAAAAAATTTAATTTTGTTTTTTTCCTGCTTTCCAAAACAAAATTTTAACTTTTTCCCTTACCCTAAAGAATATTCTGATTCACTCTCAAAATTATTAGATACTCAAAACAAAGTTCTGTGACATTTATTCACTAAAATAAATTTTTAAATCAATTTTTATTAGAAAATTCAACGAAAATTGAATTATTTAAATATAAAACTAAATAATCTATTGAATAATTAAATGTTTTTTAAAATTCATTTCTGGTAAAGAATTTTATCAACAAATTTTTAAATAATTGAATTCTTTTGACGAATTTTAATATAATTTTTAAGAATAATTACATTTTTCGAGGAATTCGATTAAAATTGTATTCAAATTAATTGAATTTCTGTAAAAAAAATTTACTATTTATAATAAATAAATAGAATTATTGCGAAGAAATTTATAAAACATTTGTAAAAAATTGCATTTCTGTGAAATTTTTATTATTTATGAAAATAATTAAATGTTTGCGTTGAATTTTATCATTTTTATAAATAATTTTCAAAAAAATCAATTCTACAGAATTGTTAGTTGAAAGTATGAAAAATTCAAATTTTCAAAGATTTTAATTTAAAACATTTTCAAAATTCAATTATTTTTAAAAATTCAAGCTGTAATTCTTCTAATATTGAATTATTATCTAAAAAATTTTCACTGAAATTCATTTTAAAATCAATTTTTACTAGAAAACTATGCGAGAATTTAATTATTTCAATAAATAAATAAATCATTAATTGAATAATTAAATGCTTCACAAAATTAAATTTTTAAAATTTTTCACACGAATTTAAATATTTTGGTTAAATAATAAAAATCTTTGCAGAAATTAAATTATTTTAAAAAATATTAATAAAATTCTCGGCTAGTATTGAATTATTTTCACAAATATCAAAATTTTCGCAGAAATACAAATATTTTCAAATGTTTTGATAAAACTTTTTCGTAAAAATTAAATTATTATTAATAATATTTTAAAAAAATTTCTCGATAAGATTCAATTATTTTTAAAATTTGAATGAAATTCTTCGAAAGAATTCAATTATTCTTAAGAATTTTGATACAATTCTTTATAAGAATAAAAATTATTTAACATTAAATAAATTTCAATACAATTTTAAATTTGAATTCCATGAAAGAATTAAAAAATTTTTGAAAATAATTAAAATTTTGCAATGAATTTTATTATTTGTGAAAAAAACTGAATTTTTGTGAAGAGTTTTAGAAAAATGCTTTTAAATAATTGAATTCTGATGAAAAATTATATTGATTGTCAAAATAATTGAATTCTTGCAATAAATTTTATAAAATTACTTAAAATTTTACATAATTCATGATAACAATTAATATCTTTCGAGAAATATAATTAAAATTGCATTCAGATTAGTTATATTTTTATAAAGAATTTTATTTAAACTTTTGATAATAATTGAAATCTTTAGAGGAGGAGGAGGAGGAGGAGATTTATTAAAATTATATTCGGAATAATTACATTATTGGGAAGAATTGTATTATTTATGAAAATATTTAAATGTTTTGCGTAGAATTTTATCACAATTTTGTTTAAATATTTGAATTCTTTTGGAGAATTTTATTAAAATAGTAGATAGTAAAAATCATTGAATTGATGAAAATTTTTGAAAATAATTTAAATTTTGCCAAGAATTTTATTGAAATTTTTTTAAATAATTGAATTTTAAAGAAATTATTAATTTTAATAATTAATTAAATACATATTGAAAAAATTCAACTAATTTCAGAAGAATTTGAATTATTAAAATTTTTCAAAATCTAAATTCTTTAAAATTTTCAATTAAATTCAATCAAAATTGAAACTTTATAAAATTTCAAATCAAAACTTTTTGTTATTATTACTTTCCAAACTATTTACTTGTTTCTTTTCATTTTATGTTTAATAAAATAATAATAATAGTAATTTACGTTATACTTTGATTTCCATGAAGAATCACTGCTTTTATAAAAAAGAAACCCAAAAATTTAACGATCCAAAAATGAAAATTAAGATAATATCACTTGGCAGCAGTTTTTTTTTTTTTTTTTTATTCAAGACAAACAAAGCATTTTATCACTTTTTTATTTGTTTGCCTCCTCTTTATATGTATAATAATATTTATTATTCACATTAAATGAAATGATAGGAAGAAAGCTTCACTTTAATTACTAAAATTAAAATTGAATTTTTATGTCATTTTTGAAGTCACTAGAAATGCTCTGAGAAAAATTTGCCAAAAAAATAAGTCTGTACATTGCTCAAAGTTATTTTTTTTTTTTTTTGAAAAATTTATCATTTAAAGTATTTTTTTATTTTTAAATTTAAAAAATTTTTCAAACTTATTTTTCGATTGTTTTTTGAAAATTAATTTACTCTTTCTGTTAAAGATTCAATTCCATTAGATTTTTTGCAAATTAAATGAAATTCCGGGAAAAATTTGATTTGAAACAAAATTTCCTTTTTATCGAAAGAATATAAAATAGAATTTTATGTATGTAATATGTTGAGATTTGTAAGATGTGAAAGAATAGATATTAGATCTTCCTTGGAGTGCAATTTTTATCTTCATGAAAGGCTTTCGGAGAGACTTTGAATTTTTCTTCAAAGATTGAGTGAATTTATCGTTTCCTGTGGTATTATTGGCGCAATGCCAACGTCACAAAGTTGAAATGTACGACCACCTTTCATGAATCGTGACAAATTTATATACACACACGCATCAAAATTCATCATTCTTAAAAATTCCATTTTGCAACAATTAATGTGTACGCAAATCGAAATATTTAACGTTTTCAAGTATTATATTTATAGAGTTGATGACTTTATATTATATATTGTGTTTATCTTTTTCTGAATTATCATATCAGTTAAAAATTATTCTACATATTTTAAGAAAGATGTGACTTTACCTTGCCAGATGGTATTCCTGATGAATCAAGCGCTTTCTCAACACGCTTTTTGTCGTCCTTATTTTGAGTGAACATTTTTACAATGCTGCAAAATAAATTATTTTTATTATATTTATTATAAATATTTCAATTCATTTTTCAAAATAATACAAATTTTTTTTCTCTTCAACTGGAAATTTTTATGTATGGATTTTTTTACAAAGCCAGATTTTTATTTATAAAAATTCGAATTTTTTTTTAAATTAAAATATAAAATATTTTGTTTGAATTTTTATTATTAACAAAACAAAAAAAATTCGAATTTTTTTTAAATTAAAATATAAAATGTTTTGTTTGACTTTTTATTATTAACAAAACAGAAAAAATGCCAGAGAATTTTTGTGCTATGAAAGTATTCGAAAAATTTGAGAGACAAATATTTGTAAAAAAAAAAATGCAGAACAAATAAAAAGTTATGCGGGGCGATAAAAAATTTCTATTTTTAAAATTATGATTAATTTAGCATAAAAATGAATATTCAGCAAAATTGAAAATTACAATTAGCAAATTTATTTTCTTTGAAAACAGCCGAATATATTGGTCATCCGTTCTATTTTTATAAAAAGTATTTTACAACTCGAGACGACTTGAAAAAATATTTTCTTTTTCGCCAATTCAAAATCGAAATCGCCAAAGCAAAGATTTATAATTCTTCGAAAATTAATAAAAGATCTTCAAAATTATAAAATTTATATTTATAAAAAAAAATATTACAAAAGTAAGACTAATTAAAATAAAACTAAGTTACAAATTAGCTTTTCAATTATCTTTTTATTCTCCAAATGTTTCCTTGGCAAAGTGTCTTGAAAACTAAATTTACGAATTCCAAATGTGTAAATACAAACTGAAACTTTAGAAAATTAGAGTGCTTTTAAAAACTTTAGAAAGTTTATAGTTATAAACATACAATTTATACACCACTATGTATTAAATCTGTGGGAATATAAAATTTTCTGAAATAATATTAAAAACTTTTTAGATTTTATAGGAAAAATTTTTATTAAATGTCTTTAGTTTTAAAAGAATTTTACGATTTATTGTTTTATTAAAATAACGAATAGTTTTAACACCAGTTTCTTTTTTTCATTAAAAAAATATTGAGAAATATAAATTTAGAAATTTATATTGCAAATTTATAATTAATATTATTATTATATTAACAATTTCGAAATTTATTTAAACAAATACAATAATAGAAATTTTTAATAAAATTTTCAAATTTTTCATAAAACTTTTAAATATTTTATTAAATTTCCAAATTTAAAAAATAAGATTTTTCTTTGATATTTAAATTTATTCTGAAATACAATATATGCGATTGTATATATTATATGATATCGAAAATATAATTTATGGGAATATTCGATACTTAAAAGTGAATAAAAAAGTTTATAGGATATTATGTAACACTTTAGAAAATCAATAATTTTTAGTCTTGAATTTAAAATTGTTTTAACTCATTGACATTTCAATTTAAAGCACCACTTATAATATATGATGCCAAAAGGATAATTAAACTCAATTTCAACGAATTTCGAGAGTCAGCGTTTTATTGAATTTAGGGATAAAAGTGAAATATATAATACATAAACTTTTTGTGAATTTAAGATAACAAAATTTTAGAATTTTGAAAATTATACTCAATAATTTCGGTTTTTTAATAGTTTCGGTATTTTCTTAATTCAATATTTAGTAAATTCTTCCATGATTATTTAATAAATTAATTTTTTTGATTTTTTGAAGACGTATAAAAGATAAAAGTATTTTGTTAAATAAATATTTAAATATTTACTTTTTCACAGGAATTAAAAATTTTCAAAATTTAAATTTCAAATCTTCTGAAATTTAATTAAATTATATAATAATAACAATAATAATAATAATAATAATAATCGAGATATTCTGCTACTTTATCCAAAGTATTCAAAAAATATCAAATTACATATATTGAAAATTTTAAATAGTCTATGAATTTTTTTTCTCAAAAAAAAAAAAATAATAATAAGTGGAGTTACAGTTGCAATTTTGAAAATTAATCAATTATTTTATCACTTATTTTTGTATTTAAATAATTAAATTCTTCTAAAAATTTTTAATAAGAATTGATTTGAAACAGAATTTCAATTTAAATTTTAGAAAATATTTCAAGAATTGAAATAATTTCAATTTTTAGAAATAATTAAATTTTAAAAGATTTTACACTGAAAGTATTTTTAAATTTTAATTCCTGATGGACAAATAAATAACAATAAGTATTCAAATATTTATTAAACACAAATTAAATAAATTTGAAAACATTTTTATTAGAAATTCTTAAAAGAATGAGGTTTTTAAAAAATCGTCGTTATTTAAATTTTTTGAAAATAGTTGAATTCGCGTAAATAATTTACAAAAATTGAAAAAATAGGAACTTTTTTCAGAATTGTAACTAAAAATTTGGAGAATAATTAAATTTTACAAAAGTTTTTCTATTTAAAATAATTCAATTATCGTCGAATTCTAATAAGAATTGATTTCAAAAATAGAAATTCAGTTAAAATTTTAACAAATAATTGAATTAATATTAGAAGCGTTATGACAGGAATTTTAAGAAATAATTATATTTTAAAGATTTTTAAATTAAAAGAATAAATTATTTATTTTAAAATAAATTATTTTCCTTTGAAAATGATCAAAGTTTCGAATAATTATTTTCATAAATTCTAAAAAATAATTGATTTTTAGAAAAATTGCAGTTGTACTTTTTAGAAATAATTAAATTGCAAAACGTTTTACATTGAAAGTATAAAAAAATTTTAATAAGACAAATAAATAACAAGTATTCAAATATTCATTAAACAAAAATTAATTAAATTTTAAAATTTTTATTTAAAATTCTGAAAAATAAAGGTTTTTAAAAAATCATAATTAAAATTTTTTTGAAAATTGTTGAATTTCAAAAAATAGTTTGAAAAAATTGATAAAAAAAGAAATTTTTTTCAAATTTCATTAAAATAAATTTTATATTTTAAAGAATTTTATTTTCTTACTGTAAAAAAATATTTTTAAACATTATTGAAATTTTTTCTGATTTGTAATTAAAATTTTAGAAAAGAATTAAAACGAAAAATTTTGTTTTTATATAATTGAATTATCATTAAATTGTAAGTTCTAATAAAAATTGATTTAAAAAAAAATTTCATAATAAGATATTTTGAAAAATAATTGAAAATTAGATGCAATCTAACAGGAATTTTAAAATTAATATATTATTTTCCTTTAAAAATTATTAAAGTTCAGAATAATTTTATTCTAAAGTTCTAAAAAATAGTTGACTTTTGGAAAAATTGCAGTTCTTTTTAGAACTAATTCAATTTTAAAAAGTTTTTTTTACATTGAAATTATTTGAAATAAAATTAATTATTTGAATTAAAATAATTCAAATTTTCCAGAGAAAATAATTAAAAATATTGAAACTCTTTAAAGTTTTGTCAAATTTAAATAATTTACTTAAAATGAATTTTTATATTATTGAAAAAATTTATTTAAAAAGAAAATTTATTTTCTGTTACTTCTTACTTTTAACAATTGTTTTCAAATATAATCCTATTTTTGAACAAAATTGTATTTTGAAAAATTATATTTTTTAAAAAATCGATATCTATATTAAAATAAAATTTGAAAAAATAATTTCTTTTCGTAATAAAACTTACTTTTTTGATGGTATTTTCCCAGATTTGTCGGCTGTCAATGTGAGTCTAATGTGTGCTTTTTGAAGAAACATAATTGTGCTTGTATTTAGTTGAGTGAGATTGTAAGCCAATTGAAGAAGTTGATCTGTCCAATGGCGTGCCATCTCTGCTCGATTTGTACAAAAATTTATGAATGTCACATTCACAAAATCTGACCCATAGCAAATGGTTACAGTTTTATCTTCCAATAAATCTTGTGAGCCCATTGTCACGCACGCTTTCAATTTAGGATCCTAGAGAATTTATTCATTTATTACATCAATCATTTACGTCCATGAGAAAAATTCTCATTTGAGCCAAATATAAATTTATTTCAGTTAAATATAAAAAGTAAATTTATGTTTCACTGGCTACTAAATTATTTATTTATTATAAAATAATAATAATAAAAAAAATATTATTAATCCAAATAAAATTTATTTCTAGAAAAAATTTAATTCGCTCTTCGTAAAAATATCTTTCTTCTGGGTTTACATCCAGAAAAAAGATATTTTTACTCAGCATGCTAAACCTTTTATTTGATAGAATAGAAATAAATTTAATTTGGTTCATATAAAAATTATATTTGTATCGAAGAAAATTTTATTTGGTTCAAAATAAAATTCCATTTGGTTGAAATGAAAATTAGATTTGTGTCGAAGAAGATTCTATTTGGTTTCAGAAAATTTAATTCGGTTGAAATAAAAATTAGGTTTGTGTCTCGAAGAAAATTTTATCTCCTAAATAATTTTTTTTCTTAATCAAATAAATAATTTAGTAAACGCAGAGAAAGAGATATTTTTATTTAACTCAAGGAAATTATATAGCATAATAAATAAAAAAAAAATGAAATTACGTTAATTAAATTAACTGCTCTGAGAAAAGAATTTATTTGATTCAAATAACCGATTAATTGACTAATATTATCAATTAAATATTTAATTGAATCAAATAATATTTATTGGAGTCAATTAAATGGTATTTGCTTCGAATACTGAAATTATTGGTTCAAATACCATTTAATTTTGACTCCAATAAATATTATTTGACTCCAAAAAATATTATTTGATTCCAAAAAATATTATTTGACTCCAAAAAATATTATTTGACTCCAATAAATATTATTTGACTCCAAAAAATATTATTTGACTCCAATAAATATTTAATTGATAATAGTCAATTAATCGGTTATTTGAATCAAATAAATTTTCTTTTCAGTGTTTAAACGCTCATTATATTTACAAAAAAGAAAAAAAATTTATTTCAAATAAATAGCTCTCTTTAAATAAAAGTTTTAATAGATCCGAAAATAACAAAAGTTTTTTTTTCCTAATTTTCAATGATTTTTAAATTTTGGTAAAGAAAAACTTTTTCAATTTAAAGTTATTTGAAAATAGAGAGAGAAAAGAAGAGGGAGAGAAAAATGGAGAGAGAGAAAAAAAAGAAAAAAAGAGAGAGAGAGAGAGAGAGAGAGAAAGGGAGAGAGAAGGTTTTCTTTTAAATGTTAACAGAACAGGTGAAATCATTTATAATGAATAACGTCTGGTTTGAAACCTTGACACTGTAATTTATATGAAAACGTTGCTCAGTTTTATGATAATGTTAATGTATAACTTTATATTATTGATTTATTGGTAAAACCCTTTGAGAAAATTTTCAATCTGCAACAAACTATTGTTTTCAATACATTTGTACAGTTGGCTTCCGTTAAGGTGCAAAGTTATAGGTGTGACTAAGGATAAAAATTATCTATTTATACAGAACATTATAGGCAATGATCTATTTATAAAATTTGCCAATATACTTATTGCGCTATGATACGTTATGAATTTCATTATTATTTTCTACAAAGTGAATAATTATTATAATTAAAAAAAAATCAAATCGATTCGACGAAATTAAATTATTTTTATGAATTAAATTAAATTTATTATTTTTCTATAGAGAGTATATTTCACCCAATCACCCAGAGGCGAAGTCTACTGACTATTTCTCAAACAATTTTATGAAAAGGAAAAAAGTCGAAAAAAATGTATTTGATTCAAATAAACGACTACTTGTCTATTATATTATATATTTGAATTAAATAAATAAAGAAATATTATCAAAAATAAATAATAGAATAAATAATGAATATTATTGAAAAAATTACTAATAAATAAAAAGATACTGAAAATAAAAAATAAAAAAAATATTATTAAAATAAAAATACAAATTTTGTTGTCTACAAATTTTTCATTTTCTAATTCATGATAAAATACCCGAAAAAAAAAGTTTTTTTTCTAATTTCTCTAAACGTCACCTGGGGGCAAAAAAAAGGTGGATGAACAGATAAAGGATGACATAAAAAAAGATGAAAAGAAAAATGAAGCTGTAGTACTAACACTGTCCTCCCTCGAGCGTATTGTAAATGCAAATTTTAACAAAACGACACTTGTCCCAGTTCCCGAAAGCTTTAATACTAAATACAACATTCTATAAGTATAAGAAAGTGAAAATGTTTCAAAAAAACATTTTTTTTCCAATTTTTACTTTCAATTTCACTGTAAAATTCATTTATCTATATCAAAATTTTATCGAAAGGTTTTTTTTAAGCTCTTTGAGAATAATGGGACACGGTCATCGACAAAATCGAAATTGAAAATGAAAAAAGAGTAAATTGATGATTCTTCACTCAATGGTCACTTTTTTTACTTTTTCTTTTAACTTCAGCTTCTTTAAATCAAAATATTTTTTTTTTTTAAACTTTTTCTGGAAATTATTCAAATTATTTTTATCTTTTTCCGTAGTCCGTAGCTTTTTTTAAATTTGTAAATCCAAATTTTTATTACAACGCAACTTTTGTTTTAAAATTACATTAATTTTACGATATACAAAGTAAATTTCAAAAAAAAAAAAATTAGTAAAATTAACTTGGGACTTGGAAAAATTTTCTTCAAAAATAGTAAAATTTAATATTAAAATTTTTTATTTCCGGAATAACTTTTACTATTTTCAAAAACAATTTTTCTTTTATAAAAATTATAGAAAAATTTATGCTCTAAAAACAAGAATATTTAATAGTTAATTGTAATGTTCGAGGAAAATTTCGAATAATTTTCATTAAAAAATGAAGATTGAAAATAGTAAATTTTGCTATTAAAAATCATTATTTCCGCAGAGTAAATTTTATAATAGAAGTAAATTTTATCGAAAATTAGTAAAATATACTTTGAATTTACTAACATTTATTTTGAAATTAATATATAATTTGTCAAAAATACCAAACAATTTGGATTTTCTTTTTAGAAGTAAAAGTTATTATAATTATAACCGGTTCTTTGATTGAGACCCTCAATTTTTATAAGTTTTTTATAAAAATAAGGGGAAAAGGGGAGAAAATTTATGATTTTAGGTGTTTTAGGGGATAAAGAAGGGGAAAAGAGAAAAAAAGGGTGCAGGCCTCGGATCGATTTCTAACGAACAAAAAAAGTCGCTTTAATCGATTAAAAATAGAAAAAAGAATCGAAAAAGTCGTTTATTTAATTTAGTATTGTCACGAAAATTTTATTTTGTATTTCCCTGATTCTTCACTGATTTCTAAATTCAATTAATCAAAACTTGTATAATTTTGCTAAATAAATATATTTAAATACTTCTTATTTCTTTTTTCACAGAAAATAAAATTTTAGAAATTTCAACTTCTGAAATTTAATAATTTTTAAAAATTAAAACTATAACTCTTCCAAAAATTCAATTATTTTCTACAATTTTTAACTAAACTTCATCTCTAAATTAATTATCTATATTAATTTTTAATAATTTTCCGAAAGTTCTTCGAGAATTAAATTATTTAAAATTTTAAATACAAAAATTCAATTTTTTATAATAATTGAAACAGTCTATTTTTCTTATTTAAAGATTAAAATTAAATTTTTTTTTTTATTAAGGTAGAATATTTTCAAAATTTTTAATAAAGAAATTCGTAAGACAAATTATTTAAAAATGTTTCTAAATAATTTTTAAAACACAATAGTTTTACAATTACATACGCCTATACAATTAAAAAATGTCCAATATTGAAATTTTGGTAAAATCTTTTAAAAAATACTTTAATTTTAGTAAAATCATTGAAAAATAATTGAAATTTGATCAAATCTTTGTAAAATAATTAAATTTTTATTTTTTTTTAAATATTTAAAAAATAATAAAATTTTTAAAGAATTTTAATTATAAATAATTTCTCAAAAATTCTAAAATAGTACATTTTTAAAAATTTTAATTTACTTTGTTTGAAGGTAATTGAATCTTAAAAAATTATGATAAAACAATGCTAAAAATTAGTTTTTTATAAATTTTGTAATATAATTTTTCAAAAATAATAGCTAAGAATTTTTGTATAATTTAAAAAAAATTATTTTTTTTTGAAGAATTTTAATTAAAAATTTTGAATATGATTATTTTCTCCAAAAATATTTAAAATAATTCTAAAAAAATTTAATGTTATTATTTTGTGTATGTATTTGAATTTTTGGAAATATTGAAAATATTAAATGTCAGAAATATTGAAAATAATTGAATTTTAAAAAATTAAAGCAAAATAATTCAGAGAATTAATTTTTTCAAAATTATTTTAATATTATTTTTAGAATCTAATTTTTATTAATTTTCATTTTTATTGAATTTACACTTGAAGATTATTCATTAAAATTTTTAAGAATTCAATTATTTCCAAAATTTTCATTTTGAATTTTTTCAAAAGTTAATTTTTATAAATTGTAGTAAAATATTTGAAAAAATTATTTATTTTCAATTAAATTTTACAAAATTTCTATTATTCAAATCTTTTTAATTGTATAACTTTGAAAAATTTAATTTAAAAAATTATTCAAAAATAAATTTTTAAAAATTTGTCTACAGTTTTGCTTTTCACTCTATAAAAATCGAAATAAGTTTGCACTTTATACTAAAAATATGGTATTTTGTCGCAAAATTTAGAGGAAAAATCGAAAAAGTCGGATTATTTAAAAATAGTCGAAAAAAGTCGAAAAAGTCATAGTATCCGAGGCCTGGGGGTGTAATTTTATAAGCAATGCTAATTCACAAAGACAGTGGTGCCCTCCCTTAGGATAAAATTTGTTGCAGGGAATTTTTACCCCAAAATCAGTTTAAAAATTTTACTTTTTTTTTATCTATATAGGAAATTTAAAAAAAATTAATTTTTTAAAAAAATTACCACTTTGTGAAGATTCACCCATAATTGTAAATAATTAAAAAAGCTTGACTGAAAATAGTTATAGTATAGTTATAGTATACTGGTCTATGGATACCAATAAAAAGAATTTCATATATTCTGGAAATTTGTTAGTAAAATGAAATTTAAAATGGTAAAATGCATATAAAATATATTGGAGCTGTATACATTCATGCAGTGCTCTCTAGAAAAAAAAATCACCTTTGGTACTTTTGCATATTTTCCAGTTCGTGTGTCTCTTATGTTGGCTATATCGAGTACTTCCATTTCGTTGTGCTGGTCTACCCAATGCAAGTAAAAGCCGAATTGGTCGACCTTTAAAGTGACTGGGGTTGCTACTCCTGAATCCTATATTCAACAGGGAAATTTGACAGACACTAAATCAAGACATTCTGTCAAATATTGTGATATTTATATACAATAATTTACAAGGAGAAAAATCAAAGCTAGAAAAAAAACGGATCTCACAATTTTTATATATGACGCGCTCCAAAAAAGGGTACCTAATATAAGAAACAATAAATTTTAGATTCTGATTGTAGTTTTTAAATTGAAAGTATAAAGAATCAACTCTCAATATAAATTAATTTATTGAAATTTAATTTCAATAAATTACCAACATTAAAGTCTTTATTTTACTTATAAAAGAATTTAAAAAATTATTTTAGTTTTAAACGATTAAACAGAAACTTTCAATTAATGTAAAAATAACACAAACATAACATTAAAATAATTTTAAATTAATTAATTAAAATAATACCGTTCTTTGGAAAGCGTCACCTATTAATTCCTTTGTAGAACAACAATGAATCTAAAATAGTTCAGTAATCATTGCCAAACTAATAAAATACAATCTAAATATTTAGTATTAGTCAGTATTATTTTTTTTAGATTTGATTCTTCTCCCTGTGTTTAAATCTACCATTATTCGAAGTACACTCAGAAAAAATTATTCTTTATTTTTTTTTAGTAAATTGTTAAAATGAACGACTTATAGTCAATTTATACACAATTTTTATTGACTCAAAGTAATCCTTCATTTTAAAAATTTACCTATTAAAACAACCAAAAAATGAAATCAATTTATTAATTTTTATTAACTTCATCTTTTTGCTCCTTATTTGCGAAAAATTAAAGAATTATTACTAAAGAATCATAAAGGTGGGAAAATTAATTTTCTCTTAATTTTCTTTTTTCTGAGTGTACAATCTTAATTTATTAAAATATTCAGAGTTGCCACAGGTCAGGGAAAATAAAATTGGTCAGGAAAAGTCAGGAAAAATAAAATTTATCAGTGAAAATAGAAAAATATGAGTTCTATCAAAAAGTACTGGAAAAATATAAAATTTCTCGAATTGCTAAACAAAAATTTTAGATTTTAGTGTCAAAAAACATTTTTGAAAAACTTATAAAACTTGAAGTCCGCAACGTTTTTAAAAACGAAAAATTAAAAAATAATTTTTTTTTTAACTTAAATTTATCTCTAATTTTTATGTGCCTTATTTTCTAAGAAATTAATTGTTACTTTAACATACAATTATTAAAAAAATAACATAATTTAGATTCAAAAATAAAAAAAAACCGTAGCATTATTATTTCGTTTTTGTTTTTGAAAACGTTGCGGACTTCAGCATCAGAATTCTCCTTGAATATTTTTCACCTTAAAAACTTTTGAATCAAAAATGAATTTTTAAAAAATGTCCTAATTTTCTCTTATTTTTTTACAAATAAATAAATTTCTTCAAAATAATTAAATTCTCGAATAACTTTTTTTAAAGTTATTAATTATAATTAACTTGAAGAAGATTTTAGTCAAAAATAGCTGCAATTTTCAGAAATAATTGAATTTTATATTGTATAAGTTTTAAACTAAAATTTTTAAAAATTTCAATTGCCGGCAAAAAATAAATAATTAAAATCCTAATTTTAAAATTATTTTCGCTTTAAATGATTTTAATTCCAATTTTTTAAAGATACTTGAATTTCCAAAAAAATATTATCAGTAAATTGGAGAATTAATGGAAATTTTGTGAAATAGAATTGAAAATAATTGAATTTGTTAAAGAATTTCATTATAGATTTTCGAAAAATTAAATTTTCAAAGAATTTTTATACAAAATTAGTAAATAATTGAATTTTCAAAGAGTTTTTATTAAAAATTAGTAAATAATTGAATTTCACAAAAAGTAATTCAAATGAATAAATTATATATTCAGCTGTTTGTTAATAAAAAGAAAGCAGCACAAAAAGGTCCAAATTTCAAGTAAAATAATTTATTTTCTAAAGAGATGTAATTGAAATTTTCTTTGATTGATTACTTTTAAAAAGACAAATTTAAAATTTCTACAAAAAATTGAAGTTTTGAAAAATTTTATTTAAAATTCTGAAAAATTATGTTTCGAAGAAATATTAATTCAATTTTTTTTTAAAGATACATAAATTTCTAGAAAAATTTTATTAAAAAATTATCAAATAAATTGAAATTTTGTAAAATTAAATTAAAAATAATTAAATCTTTTAAAGAATTTCATTACGGATTTTCAAAGAATATCTAAAATAATTTAATTTCGTAAGAGTTTTAATTTTTAGTTTCTACTAATTAGTTCATTTTAAAATGAAAAATTTGAAATTTTTTCAAAAAATTCAAATTTTGAAAAGTTTTATTAGAAATTCAGAAAAATTAGTTTTTTAAAATATTTTGATTCAATTTGTCAAAGGTAATTGATTGTAAGCAAGAAATTGAAATTTTTAATTGAAAAAATTCAACTAATTATTGAAATAATTGAAATTTTCCTAAATTCTATATTAAAAATAATTCAATTTTTAAAGAATTTAATTAAATTTTTTTAAATAATAAAAGGATGTTGAGCACAGTGTAATTAATTTTATTTTTAAAATATACCCTTAAAGTTTTAAATAAAATTTTTGTTTCTAAAAATGATCTTTTTTTCTTATAATTGAACTCCTCTTGAATTTTTTGTATATAGAGATCAAGGAAAAAGTTACAATTGTGCCTGAAAATCAGGAAAAAACAAAATTAAATTTTTGTGGCAACTCTGATAGTGCATTAAATATAGTACAAGGTATACAACAAGCTTGGATATATAATTTCGACTCTAAATATCATGCAAAAATTACTTTTACACAAATGTATTGTTAAGTACCTAAAAATGTAACAAAAAATATATTTAAAAATTTTTTTTTAAATATTTACATTACGATATCATTTATATTACACAATTTTTCTTTTTATATTATTTAAAAATTTAATTCTGATTTAAATCTAATTTCATAATGTATAAAAACAAAAAAAAGTGTAATACAATATATTTTTGTAAAACAAAAGTGTATCATATCTTTAATAAATAATTTCATGAAAAAGCAATTATTATAATTATTCGTGAGGGGATTTTTTATTGACAATATGTACATAGCCTAGATTTTGAAGTGCTTCAATCTGATATCAAACAGTAGATATACAGAATGTAAAGTTTGATAAAGTGTATATAAAATTAAAAAAAAAAAGTTAACAAGCCTCTAATTTTTTATATACACAATATAATTAACAATAAAAAAAAATGTTTTAATTTCCCTTCATCTTGATTTCTCTCATGAAAACAACACAAACTACAGTTAGGTAGGAAAATTAATTAAAAACACATTTAAGATATAAAGGATGATAAAATTGAAAAAAGAATTATTTAATTGTATTAAACGTGCGGGCAATTCTCAAATAAATTTAACTTTCACGTCCTTCGAAGTTTTAATCTGTATACATTCCTAGGCCTATTTTAACTTTTCAAAAGGCTTTTCACAAAATGATAAATATCACACACGATCCACTTTTATACGTTTTTTTTTCCTACCCTCATATATAAATTAAAATTTAAGAAAATAATTTTCTTCACAACTATCGATAATAACCATCAACTGTCAAAAGTTGTTTAATATACAGTTTGATAATATGTAATTGTCTTCCACTACTGCTTTATCTTTTAGAAACAATATTTGTGTTGAATTTCTAGTTTCTGTCTAGAAAATCTCCATTTTACGTCCTTCACTTTTGACTCTACAACTTGAAGAGTTTCTTCATTTATATACACATTTGTAAATTATATAAAATCTTTTTTTTTTTAATGAATTAAAATAAATTCTGTATACATAATCTAATGGAAGCAAAACTATTTCTAAATTACATTCATTCATGACCTCAATTCAAAACTTTGCAATTTACATACACAGAAGGTAAAATCTTTGTTTTTGTATTAAAACTTTTCATTGGAAAAATGAGAAGACAGTAAATTAATTGAAATTTGGATTAATAAATAAAATTTTTGATAAAAAATAAGATAAGATAAGATCTGGCATTTTTTTAAAGGTGTTGAATTTACATCAAATTAGATCAAATTGATACCAAATGTTTGGATCAAATTATTTAAAAATTTATTTTTATTTATTTACACGAACCGAACATGTTGAGAAAATAAATGAATACCTTCTCTCTAATTAACAGTCATTATATTTAATAAGATCTATTGGTTTTCTTATCCCGCGTAGAAATCACCATGCTATGCCTAAAATGATTATTGGCCCTAGCTTGGACCTAACTTGGCAACCCCTTTTTATATATCCTGGGCTGGTCCTAACTTGGTACTAGCTAGGAGATCCAGTTATGACTTAGAAAAATTTTTAGGAAAATAAAGTGTCAAAATTGATACATGAAAAACATGTAAAAATTGATAAATATTCTCAATTAATATTTATAAAATTAATTGATAATCATATTTGTTTAAACAATTTATTGTTTGACATAAATGAGAAAATTATACAAATACTATAAAATAAAGTTAATTTATTAATTTATTAATTCAGCAATTGTTTAAACAAATAATTGTTATTTACTAACTTTTCACACAATCAACCTAGAAACTAGCAGTTTTTTCTAATTTTGCAATAAGTAAATACTCAGATTAGTTAATTGCAAAATTTTAAAAGACTACAAGTGTCTAGACGCTTTATTGTCTTAAGAATTAATAAATAACAACAATTTTTTGTTTAAACAAATGCTGAATTGTTAAAATTATAAATTATCTTCATATTTCACTACTCAAGTGTAATAATCGCGAAGTTAGATAAAAAAACTGCAAATTTTTAAGTAATTTGTTACAAAAGTTAATAAAACAGCAAAATTTATTTATTTATTTAAACAGATACAGATTGCAATATAATTATCATTAGGAAAATATATTTCTAATTTCGTTCGCTGATTTTAAGTTTCGTTTAAGTTGGTGCTAAACACTAAGAGATATTGCAATTCGAATGTGGGCTGACCCACCCAGGTCCAACCC